AGGTTTGGGGGCAAGAGAGCGGTGGGCCCTATCCATTCTCCAATCTATGTCCAGAACCGTCGGGGTCAATGCGATGAACAGCCCCTGTAAATAATCTTGCAGATCTGCGTCTCCTATTGATTCAGGAACACCACATTTACAGAGATTTTGTCTCCACTCCTTATTCTCCAAATCTTCTTGTAGGGATTGTAGCTGGGAAATCTGTTGTTTCAAAGTATGATTGTCTTCCTCCAGTACGTGTACATACTGCACCATGTCATCAAATTTGGTTTCTAGGTGATTTGTACGTTCTTGCACCAATGCTATCTCCCCTCTGAGTTCTTGAGCTATTTTCCCCACTGCCACAGAAATAGTATGGGGCAAACCCTGCAGAAGACCATGTAACTTATCATCCAGAATGTCTGCTGTAAGGTAGGGGATAGGAGAAGGGGGATATAGAGCAATGTGATGTGTTACCTCCGCCATCACGACCTGCCGGATCAGCCGATTCTGCCGCTGGGATTGTGTGGTCCCTCGAGGCCAGGGATGTGGCTCGTGACACTTCTTTATCCATATGTGTAGGCTGCAAATGCTTGGCGGGTGATGGAGGGTATTTGTGAAGGCCAATTTTGCCCATGGGGATCTGCAAGTGATACGGAGTCCGGTACCTGTGCTCCTCTGCTGTAATTAGCTAATGTTAGCTCTGGAGGAGCTGGAAGAGAGAGCGGAGAAGAAGAAGCAGAGTGAGGTCAATGTGCGACCGCAATCTTCAGCCTCTGACCATGTGCCACCTAGTTTTTTCTTTTAATAAAGGACTTGTCAAAGACGGTGTCCTGTCTTTTTTTCACACAACACTTTTTTTTTTTTTAATGAGTATCGGGACCATGTACTCCGTACTCAATCAATTTGGGGGGGGGGGGGGCTGGGATCTGGGGGCTCCTTGTTAAAGGGGACCTCCAGATTCTGATAAGCCCCCTACCCGCAGACCCCCACAACTACCTGCCAGGGTTGTTGAGAAGAGGCCCTTGTCCCCATCAACATGGGGACAAGGTGCTCTGGGGGGGCTGCCCCAAAGCGCCTTAACCCCATGTTGAGGGCATGTGGCCTTGTATGGTTGGGGGGGGGGGGGAGTGCGCTCACACCCCCGCCATTTCCTGACCTGCTGGGCTGCATGCTCAGATAAGGGTCTGGTATGGATTTTGGGGGTGACCCCCATGCCTTTTTTTATTTTTTTCATTTTGGCGTGGGAGTTCCCCTCAAAATCCATACCAGACCCAAGGGGTTTTGTATGGATGGAAGGGGGAACCCCACGCCGTTTTTTAAATTATTTTTTTAATTGCCCGCAATTCTTTTACATTCAGCTGTCATTGGGGAACCCCACTGAAAGCTGAAACATTAACACATGGTTGTCACTACTAAAATACCGCATGATTTAATAAAATAACTTATATGGTAGTTTAATAGCATTTACTTTTTTCTGACCTTCGGATAAGATTAATTGGTTTCAATGCTTTCCTATGGGAAACACTGTTTCGGTATACACATTTTTTGCTAAATTAAAGACTGTATATTCATTAGATGGGATCAAAATGCTTTATACTCACTGAACTCCCTCTCCCCCCTCCCCTTTGCTCCTGGTTTAAAAAAAAAAAAACAACTTAAACAACGAGACTAAAGCCGCATTCATTGATTTCATTGGCCAGAATAATAATTTGTTTATATGCCTGTACGGACCTGATGGAAGACTCATTAAAAGGGGCGGGTCACAGCAATGTAATATTCCGCAGAGAGATTCCCTTACTTTGAGCCTTGTAAACATTTTCTTGATTTCTAGTTACAAATAGGTGAACGATCTGGTATGTTTTGCTTTTCCAGACATGACATTTTCTGTATGAATCCATTGTATATATTTATCCGGGGTCGGATTTGGCGGTATAATAATTATGACTGTTTAATTGTAACGATCTATACCATTCTGACGGGCAAATCTGAAAGCAGAAATGTGAAATCTGAGCCAATCACAGTTGTGGGCGTTCCCTTCATCAGCCAATAATAACTTTCTAATTAGGAGTCCTGAGATCTGTCTCCGTCTTCAGCCCAGAAAATACTTGTTCCGTAGACTTTCCATTGATCTCTATAGCGGGGCGGATTCTGTATTCTGAATTACAAATCGAAGCCGGAACCGATCTGACATGAAGATGTCCAGCGGATTTCCTATTCTTGGTCCATTAAACTGCCCGAGATGAAGGGCCCCTTCATGATCGATGTTCTCCGGAAGAAGGGGGGTTAATGCCGGTATTTTCAGTGTTTGAATGTTGAATGTTGGGATCGGTCAGTGACTGGTTTCCTCCATTCCCTCCATATATATATGCTTCGTACACCAAGTCCTGTGGAGTGATGTCCCCCCTAAAGTCGGAGATCCTTTCCTTACGTTCTCGCAAGATCTAAAATAACGGATTTTATTTATAAATATAATTACGTTATAAAATTGTATGAATTTAATAGAAAGTATAATAGAAACAGTTTTCAGTGTGAGACTCTGGGGAAATGACATCTTATTCCAGGGACTGATCTTATCCGCCTTCCTTTAGTTGTGATGAGTTTCTCCTGAAGATCAGAAATCGTTCAATATATACCGAACAACGATCCTCCCGACTGAAAGGGAACAGATCTCATCGCCTCCTTCACACTCCACGTAGAAAAAAAAATGTTTTACTATCTGAAAGAAAACGTCTATAACAGTCATTGGATCAACCTTCTAATTGCTTCATTCAAATCTCCCGCCGGAATTCTATGTGACGTCACGGACAATCCGCCCTCTTACCGCCAAAACCGATACGGAGAACCGACCGCATCTATTTACCGTTTTATCTGGGAAGATCGATCAACCCTTCCATTCATTCCAGGCTCTGCGATCAGCCAAAAATCATTATAGGAGCATTACAAATACTCATATGAAATGTGTTATTGTCACTCCAATCCCTCAGAATACAAAAAAACCGACAAGATCTAGTTATTAGTCTGTTGATTTAGTTGTAGAGAAGAGATCAATGAAAAGTCTACAGAACAAGAAAACACTTCCTGCACTAGAAAACATCGACACCGAGATCTCCGGATACATTTATGGACTTCTCGTAAGACAAATATTACTGGCTGATGGAGACAACGCCCACAGCTGTAATTTTCCTTGCAGAGGACTGCATTGCTGTGGCCCCGCCTATTTATTTCAGTCTCCCATCAGGTCCGCTCGGAATTATAAACAGACACGTGGGTTATCAGAATATGGTTTCCTGTTCACGGTATTATTTTATACATTTGACATTATTATAAACAATAGTAACTGGTGATGGTTTGTGTTCTGAAATGAATGTTTCTGTGTAATCTCCGAGGAAGAAATAGAAAACCGTTGAGAAGAATGAAGAGATTTCTCTCCTGGAGGATGGATTTATATATTTGAAATGTGTATCATGGTTACAAATGAATCCAATTGTATTGTGTGTAAAGAATGGGTGTGACTCCTCCTCTTCCCAGGAAGGTTCCCATCAGGTCCGCTCAGGCTCTATAAAAGGAAGGCGGGCCCAGCCCAGAGCTCAGTCGGTGTTTATAGCAGAGAAGAATCGTCATGTCTGGTCGCGGTAAAGGAGGGAAGGGTCTGGGGAAAGGCGGCGCCAAGCGTCACAGGAAGGTGCTCCGGGACAACATCCAGGGCAATCACCAAACCCGCCATCCGACGTTTGGCCCGCAGAGGGGGAGTCAAGCGCATCTCCGGCCTCATCTATGAGGAGACCCGCGGATGTGCTGAAAGTCTTCCTGGAGAATGTCATCCGCGATGCCGTCACCTACACCGAGCACGCCAAGAGGAAGACCGTCACCGCCATGGATGTCGTCTATGCTCTCAAACGACAGGGACGCACTCTCTACGGATTCGGAGGATAAATCCTCACAACCGCCCCCCCCCCCTTCATCGTCACAAAGGCCCTTCTCAGGGCCGCCCACCTTCTCATACAAAGGGCTATTGATAGAAACCTCGAAATCATCAATCTCTCGGGAATATTTAGAAAACTCAAACCTTCTTTTCATTGTACATATTTATTTTTCAGTGTTAGGAGTTATTTCTAACAATCATTTCGTCAATATTCTAGATGTGAGACCTGTAACAGCTGCAAGTCTTTAATAGATCTGATATTGAAAGGATTCGGTAACCAGAATCCAGTTGCAGACTTTCATTCCAAGCAGATTTATCGATTAGTCAGGAAAGTGGTGTTTGTGCGCCAATAAATGTCATTGATGATCTTTGTTCTCCGGCTCGGATTTGGCGATATAATAAACTCGAAAGAGCAGGGCCCTCGAATCCTTCGTGTATCGCATTGTATTGGTATTGTTCTGTCGCGCTGAGTGAACTATCGGCGCTTTATAAATACTGTAATTTCTCTGGAACGATCTACACAATTCCGGCGGCAGAATTTGAAATCTGAGCCAATCACAGCTGTGGGCGTTGTCTCCATCAGCCAGTAAAGCATTTCTTACGAGAAAAAAAAAAATATAATGCTGGAAGTTCAACAAAATCAGTAAACTGAGAACTCCATCTTGTCGGGTTTCAGTACAAAAACATTTCACATGAATATCTGCAATGCTCGGAATGAATGGAAGGATTGATCGATCTTCCCGGACATAACTGTCAATGGATGCAGATTGTCGTAACGGGACGGCGGGAAGGATTTCTCACCTTTTCGAATTTGTCATTACTAAGACACGTGACAGCTTTCCACTCCCGAGAACGTCCTTTACTAATCCGATCATCTACAGAGCAGGGAGTCGGAGGGAATGAATGAAGTCGCCGGACTTTCCTCCTCCGACCCCCGAGAAATCCCAATAGCGAAGCGGGAGATAGAGAGGAGAGTGTGGGATTTCTTGGTCCTTAGAAGGCCGATAGTGTCCTCCCTTTGTATGGAGATGTGGGGGGGGGGCTTTGAGAGAAGGAGCCGTTGTGTTGGCGGATAGAAGGGGATCCTGTGGGGGAATTACTTGCTCTTAGGCGGCCTTGTTGCTCCACGCTCTTCTTGGGCGAGCAGCCACGGCCTGGATGTTGGGCAGGAACTCCTCCCTGGGCGATGGTGACGCCGCCAGCAGCTTGTTGAGCTCCTCGTCGTAGCGGGACCAGCCAGGCTGGAGGTGTCGGGGGATGATGCGGGTCTTCTTGTTGTCATAGGGGCTCGGCGTTTTGCCTGGCCAGCCTTCCAGGATCTCAGCCGTTAGATACTCCAGCGACGGCGGCCAGATAGACGGGAGCTCCGGCACCCGACTCCGCTTGGCATAGTTGCCCTTACGGGAGAATACGGTAGAGAACACGATCCGACGGGTGAACTTGCAGACCGGCTCCGGGACGATCGGGTCTTGGCCTTGAGCACCGAGTCTTGCCTCCTTGTTTGCCGGCGACCAGGACATGAATTGGGTTGACTGACGAATCACACACAGGATAGGGCCGCAGTAGCCGCTTCCTTCTCTGTATACACTCCTTGCTCTGATGTCACACGCTGTGATTGGTTGCTCTTCTCAGTACAGCCAAATAGACGAGTTCAGAGTTGATGCGTAAACCAATCTGTGCTCGAGGATTGGAAAAGCATCGACGTCATCTATCTATCACATGGACAGAGTTCTCCAAATAAAAGAGTGAGGAGGGATGAGGTCTCCTTTGATAGACCGCCTATAAAAGCAGCACATGAGGGCGGGCTCAGCACACTTTCCCCGCACCAGCCAAGTATTTTGGGAACCCCGGGTCATGCCCAAACCCGCCAATCTGCGCCGGGGCCCAAGAAAGGGGTCCCAAAAAAGCCGGGGAAAGACTCAGAAAAAGGGCGGCAAAAGCGGAGGAAACAGGAAGGGAGGGGTTATGCCAAATTTCGTGTAAAGGTGCTCAAGCGGGTCCAACCCGGGCACCGGGCCCTTCGTTCCCAAAGGGCCCTGAAACATATGAAAAAAATCCCTTCCCTCAATGACTTTGAGCGCCCTCGCCCGGGGAAGCTTCCCGCCCGGGGGATTTTCAAAAAGCGCTTTCCCCCTCACCTCCCCGGGGGACCAAACCCCCTCCGCCTCCTCCTGCCCGGGGGAAACGGGGCCCAAACAAAAGCGGCCGCTCCCAGGGCCCCCCAAGGGCCCTACCAAGGACACCAGCGCAAGTAATCCCCCCCGCCGGGCCCCCTATCCCAAAAAAGGGGGGCAAAGGCTTTCTAAGAAACCGCCCAAACCCTTCCAACAAATGAGCTTTCATCACCCTTGTATTGGTAGAGGGCCCAACCGTCACAAATTACACTGGAAAATTTGTCCAAATTTTGTAGTACAAAGGGGCCCCCCTCTTGGAAAACACTTTGGGGGGGCACCTGGTTTGGGGGGAATCTCAGGAAGGTTGTTGAAAAGTATGGCCGGGCCTTTCCCCCGGGTTTATGGGCTTTGGTCATTTTTTGTACAATCTGATTGGAAAATTTAAATCCCGAAGATTATTCTAGGTACAAGAAAAAACCCTTCCCAATCCCCCATTCCCCTTTTTCCGGGAAATTTCCCGTTGGTTTTTTCTTTTGGGGATGTAAAGGGTTTCAAATTTTAAAATTAAAAATTTGTTGCTAGTGGGGGCCCGGGAAAAAAAAACCCCCCGGAAACGCATTTTTTTATCTTCCCCCATACAGAAGTCGTATTTCCCATCCCAAAGGGGGGGCGATCCCATAGTATCAGGAATATGATCTTTAGGGGTATGGGGGGGGACAGGTTCGCTTTTTTGTTTGATGAAATGTAGGACTATGCCCAGAGCAGGTCATGTCTGGGGACGTGTATACAGGGGGATGCTGCTTGGGGGAAAGGGGGGCATTGGGCATATAAAAGGGGGTGCCCGCTGGGGGGGTGGGGGGGAAAAATTTTCAGGATGGGGAAAATTTTGGGGAAACCCTTTGGGTTTTGTTTAGGGTCATCTGCTTCCAGTTATTTCTGCAAATTCCCCGTCCCCTTTGTCCCCCCTTTTGTCATACATTCATGGGGAAAATCTAAATAGGGAACCCTATATAAAACCATCATTCCCCCCCCAACTTAAAAACGTAGGAAAAACACGCCCCCAGACCATCAGCTGGACAAACTATTGGGCTTATATTTATATATAATTTTTTATTTTACAGTTTTTATAAAACGCCCCAAAATTGTCAGCGTGTACATTACCCAAAGGGGGGGCAGAAAAAATAAACCAAAACAATGTAAAAACTTTAGGGGTTTTGAGGGCCCTGGGTTTTCACTTACAACTAGGAGGGAGGGGGTTTGGAAAGGGACAGGAGGAGATAGCTGGGGGGGGGATGGGAAGGGGGTTTTTTTGGAAGAATTTGGGGGAGGTCGGAAAGTTAGCAGGGGGGGGGGTAGGCTTCCCCGAAAAAGATGGGTTTTTTTGGGTGCGCCCAAAGGAGGAAAAGTAAAGGGGGTTTATAATTGATGGGTTGGGGAGGGAGGGAAGTTCCCGAGGATGAGTGAAAAACCCCGGAGAAGTCCTGGGGGCGGGGCAAAGGGGGGGGAGGAACCAGGGAACTACAGGGGAAAGGGGGTCTTGTGAGGAAACGGAGTGTGGGGGGCTGGGGGGTACTTGGGTATTAGGGGCAGTGGGTGTTTGTTCGGGGGAGTAAGGTGGGCAGTTTTTACTCAGTGTTTTGGATTTTTAATTTTGAAACCGTTGGGTAATCGGGGAAACCCGTGGGGGGGTTTTGGGAGAGGGGGGGGGGCGGAGGGGGGGCCGAGCGGTTGGAAAAAGGTGAATGAGTCTGGCGCCCTATTCAGGGGTGACTGGGGAAAGGGGGGTAAACCAGCGGCGAGGGAGGGGGCCAAAAAAGGGAAAGGGTTTCAAATAAGCTGGGCGTGATATGATGAGGGAGTGGATGAAACTGTTTAATGGTTTTTTGGGGTTAGGAAAAATCCGAGTTTTGGGGATGTTGCGGGGGTGGAGGTTTTTGCCCAACGGTTTGTTAAAGGGTTGGACTTTGGGGGGGGAAGGATAGGTTGGGGGTCCAAAAAAGGGCTCCCCGTTTCTCTGGCCCCGGGGTGGGTTTGATGTGCTTTTTTGGATGTGACAAAGAAAATAAAGGAGGGGGGGGTGGGCCCCGGGGTGGGGGGAAAAAAAAAACTCAGTTTTTGGGGAGGTTTAATTTAAGGGAAAAAGGAGCGACATCCAGTCTGATATGTCGTCAGGGAGGTGTGTGTTTGGGTGAAAAACCAAGGGGGTGAGGTGAGGGGGTTGAGGAGATAGATTTGTGTGTCGTCGGGATTTGAGGTGGTAGTTGAGTCGTGAGAGTGTATGGGATGGGCAGGGGGAGGGGGGGATTAGATGGGAGAAGAGAAGGGCCCGAGGACAGAGCCTATGGGGGACCCCAATACAGAGAGGGGGAGAGTGTGGGGGGAGGTGTTAGCATTATAGGTAACGTTTGAAGGAGCGTTTGTGACTGTAGATGAGAGCCAGGACGGGTAGAGCGACTTCTGAGGTCAGAGAGGGAGATGTAGTTTTTTGTAGGTGAGGAGTGTCGGGCGGTCGGGAAAGGGTCGAAGGGCCGCAAAGAGGTCAAGGAAGTAGGGGAGTCTGAAAGATAGTGGCAATAGCGTTTGGCGGTTAGCAGGGTCGTTGGAGAGGTAGTGAGTAAGGCGTTTCGTGGAGTGTAGTGACGGAATGCGGACTGTAGGGGATCGAGGGGTTGCTTGTCGTTGTGGTGAGAGCATAGGCGGGTGTTAGAGGGAGGGGGGGGGGGAGGGGGGGGGGGGGGGGGGGGGGGGGGGGGGGGGATGTCGAAGGGGGGTGGAGGGGGGGATATGGCGGTAGCTGTGTGAGAGCGGGGGTCGGGTTGGATGCGGGTGTGTGTGTGTTGCTCGGCAAGTTGTCCTTCGAGAATTGGTGGGTCAATTCTTGGTTTTTGATTGGCTGATTGGCAATCTCAAAGGGCAGTGAGTTGATGTGCTGGGGTGGAGGTGCGGGGCGTGTGGAGAGCAGTTAGAGAGTTGAAGCAGAGAGAGAGAAGAACGTCGGCTGAGGATTGGGTTGGGTAGAGGGTCCTTGATGAGCGGTCAAGATGTACGGCATGTTTGGCAGCACATGGATGGGAGGAGGAGTAGGTGTTGGAAGGCAGAGATTTGTATGTGGGTGAAGGCTTGGTTGGGATTTGGTTTTGCGCAATAGTCGATACTAGGGCACGACTTTGTAGTTTGAGGGTTTTTGGTTAGATGAGCAAGTCTGCCAAGCGGATGGAGCTCGTCAGGGGTTCTGATGTTGCATGTGGGTTAAAGAGCGCTACGTGAGTCAAAGGCCTGTGTGAGTGAGGTGACATTTGTTGTAGGCGGTCATAGCCAAGTCGGGGCTGGTCATGGTGGAGGATGCGGACTCGTGGAGTTGATTCAGCTGCAGAGTGGAGAGGGGGCAGGGTTAAGGTCTGCAGGAACGGTTTACGGTCTGGTCAGTAGTGTGACATTTGGAGGGGGTAGGCGTTGGTAGGACAAGAGAGATGAGAAGGTGATCAGGTTGTGGTCAGAGAGGAGGGAAAGGGGGTGTTTGTTAGTGAGGTTGTGGGGAGGAGGCGCAGCGGTTGGAGAAGCGACCATAGGTTCCAGGATATTTTCCGTCGGAGTGTGGTGGTGTGGATTGTATGCAACTGTTGCAAGTGCATAAGGAGGAGGTTTAGGTGGAGGAGACGGGGCTCGCTGTCAGTGGTCGTCAGAGGGTTGAACAGGGGATGTTGAACTTCCCCAAGGATGATGAGGTGGGTAGATCAGGAGGGAGAGGAAGAAGGGTTAGCCAGGAGGAGAAGTCTTCCAGGAAAGCGGGGTATGGATCCAGAGAGGCCCGGTATATCACAGCAATCTTAAAGGTGGGTTTGGGGAGAATATAGTCGGACGCAGTGGGCCTCGAAGGAGGAGGAAGGATAGGCGGGAGGGGGGGGTTTGGGTGGACTCTGGAAAGGTGCTTCTTCGGGGTGACATGGAGTGACCACAAGCCCACACACCTGTACGTCCGTTAGGCCTGGAGTGAGTGGGTTCAGGTGAGGACCGCCGTAGGAGATTGCAGCGAGGGGAGGTTTGAGGTCAGTGTGGACTGGGATCCAGGTTTCATGTGATCGCTTAGGAGGTTGAAGGTGAGACGGGGAAACAAAGAGGTTGTGGACGGCGGTAAGCTTGTTGCACCACCGATCGCGGTGCGTTCAGGATTTGCACATTGAAAACGGGGGGGGGGGAGAGGGGGAAGATTTTAGGGAGCAGGGGGACAGATTACTTAAGTTGTGGGGGTTTGCAGTTAGGCACATGGAGGTGGCGAGGGTGTTGTGAGCGGGGTCGAGGGAGGGTGGAGGGCCTGGATTCGGGAGGGGAGATGTCCCCCGGCAGGGCTAGAGGAGGAGAGCCAAGGTGTGTGAGAAAGGTGGCATGGGGGTAGAGCGGGGATGTGCGAGGGAGCTGTGAGAAA